ATTTATTGAGTGCTGGGGATTGAACTCAGGACCTTGTGCTTGCCAGGCAGGCGCCTATGTCACTGAGTTATCTCTCCACCTCTGTATCTGTCTTATAGTTGAGATGCACATTTAATGTAGTAGCACATTTCTTTTTGCCATTAAAAGCTGTTTTATATCATTGGTAGATCTTAAAATCAATGTTAGAACCAAAGATTCTGTAAGACACATTTATTGAAGATACATGAAATTAGACCTAATTATGAAAACTATAAGAGGGCTGGGGAGACAGCTCAATGGCAGAAGCATAAGGTATGCACAAGGTGTACTGAGTTTGATCCCCAGAACTGCCAAAAGTAAAATAAAATAAAAAATATAAGATGTTTCATGCCGTAAATGTTGATGTGAATTTTAGCCCGCAGGTTTTAAAGTTTTGACAGAAGTTTATTTGTAAGCTAATTTTTGAAAGATAAATCTGAGCTGATTTATGTTGACAATCATTTGGCACTTAGACTGAAGGCTGAAAAAAGTAATTAACAGTAATAATCCTGAAAGAAGTAATAGTCTGCAATAAAACCCCAGGGATGGGATAGGATATGTTTTAAAGGTAGTCCTACGGAGTAACCTCTAGGATGTGGTATGAAGCTATCAAATTTGGGAGGACAGAGAGTTTTGAGAAAGACAATAGTACATTTCGTGTACGTGGGTCAATCTCCTGGAGAACATGAGAGTACCTACCTAGAGCACAGTCTTACTGTGATAAGATTGCAGAGTTCCGTATTGCTGTTTACTGTGTGCTTCATCACTTCCGGGGTCTGGAATGATGGGTGTAGTGCCTGCGCCAAGGAAGAGACTTGCATAATCCGGGATGCAGTGTTTCCTGGCTTTGCCACTTCCCTGAGGTAGGTGGTTGAGACCTAATGTAAATACTAGTTTAAACATACATGTAGCACCAATCTAGCGTGGCTACTTAGTTTTCACATAAAATTATTTTGTAAGTTAAATAATGCATAGTACAAATAATTTCAGAAAGAAAAATAACGTGGTTTTGTTAGAATTTCACTACATTCTTACTTTTGGTTTTACTGTGCTCTGTCAACTTTGGACCAATGGAAACGTACAGTAGGCCCT